CAGAATGGAACATGGTCATCCCAGCATGTTCCCTCCACGAGCTGGGCAAGGAGGGCTCCATTGAGCACTGACCAAGCAGGGAAGGCAGGACGTCCCTGGAGGGGGAAATGGTCTGTCGCTGAGAGGGCTTCCTGGAAGGGAGGGGGAGGAGGACAGATCTATGTAATGAGCAGGGCGGTGAAGAGCCAAAGAGCAACGCCAGAGGAGCGTCCTTGAGGAGCAAAAAGTGGACTCTGCTTTTTCTATTTATCCCTATTCATCCCAGCCCAGTCCATTCAAATTCAACTTTTATCAGAACCTATAAAGAGTGTAAGAAGGCAAGGAAGAAATATCCCCTGGGGCTGAGGAAGTTGTCAGGGAATGTGACCTCACAGGAAAAGCCACCAACCAGAGCTGAGGAGACCAGAGCCCAGCCTGCATGTCTGGAGCTTTGGTAGACGCCTCCCATCTTGGCCCTGACTCTACCATGGGCTGCAGGCTGCTGGGCTGTATGGTCCTCTGTCTCCTGAGAGCAGGTGAGTCTTGGGTTCCAATGGGCTGTCCTTTGACTCCAAGCCTTTTCCTTGTGGCTGTGGCACCAGCCTTCCTGCTGGGCTCTGTGTGAATGCTGTTGCTTTCCCCCAACAGTCTCCATGGACACTGGAATTACCCAGATACCAAAATTCCTGGTCATGGGGATGACGAATAAGAAGTCTTTGAGATGTGAACAACGTCTGGGACATAATTATATGTGTTGGTATAGACAGAAGGCTAAGGAGCCACCAGAGCTCATGTTTTCCTACAACTACCAGGAACTGGTCGAAAATAAGACTGTTCCAAATCGCTTCACACCTGACTATCCAGGCGGCTCTCACTTATACCTTCACGTGGACAGCCTGGAGCCTGAAGACTCAGCCATGTATCTCTGTGCCAGCAGCAGAGACACAGCCTCGCAGAGTCAGTGCCTCCCTGTGCACAAACCTTCAGGTCCAGTCAGGAAGCTGCGGGGTCAACCGAGGGCTCTGCTGTGCATTTCCTGCAGGACCTGGCAGAAGTTTCAGAACACATACCACCTGCCAGTTCTACTGATGTGGCAACTCTACCTTTTACGCACATATTTAAAGTGTGGGTTTTCTTTTTCCTGAGTATGACTCTGCCCTGTCAACTGATTAAAAGATAAACATATAAATGCCTTTTAAAAAATCATGAAATAAAACATGCCTGCTGTAATGTGGATTGTTGGTTTAAGATTTTATAGGAATCTTCTAAACAAGCACCTGTGTCACTG